AAACGTACATATAAATCAGTCGTTATTTTGCCTTCAAATTAATTTCTATGACAAATATAATGAAGCAACGTAGGCGGAATCTTTTTACTTATTGTTAGTTTGTAATAATAGAGCCTGTGTAATCTTTCTCTTTTATTTGCGTTGAGTAAAGCAACGAGCTTTTCAATCTTGATTCTCATTAATGCTATACATTTGCTTTATTGTTTTACTTTATAGCGTATACAACGTGTACTAGAAACTCTATACTTTTACTGCTCCATCAAATCTATGTGATATGCTCTTTTAATAAAAATTATGTTAGGCATGATAATTGTTTATAGCAAATTCAAATTAAAACTCAATTAATCGTCTATCTGAAATTAATTGAAAATAAGTTTGCTTTATATATATATATGTATAAATTTAGCTCGCTAAGATATTATTTTTATGTGACATTTCTACACACTATAAAAAAGGTCTGAGTGCACTTGTATGCGAATAACATGACGTAACTACACGTGGCTCTATTTGAGACCCTGAAGGGATTTTTCTTCTTGTATTATTCACTATTCTCTTGTGTTTTACGGCATTTAAAATTTTTTAAAACACAATTTCGAAAAAAATAAGAGAGGAAAAGGGGATTTCTTTGTACTTCTATTTTTTTGATCCTCAAGAAATGACAGGATCTGAGAGAAATTTTGCTGCGCAAAATTTTCTCTCGGATGCCTCATCGTTCTCGTGCACGAGTCCCATAGAATCGAGGAATTCAAATCTGTTCTGCTACATTCAATGCGAAATCAGTTTCGCTGCACGATAATTGCTACATGAATTGACAATGTGTGTAAATACAGCGATAAAATATTCTTCGAATTTGCATCTGCGATAAATAGCAGTACAATGTTAATTAGAGGCTTCACGGTGAGTCTATCGAGTTTTACCTGTATCTTGGGAGATGTTTCACAGCTGATCGATCGTTATCTATTACGCGGGAAGGAAAATCGATTCTTTCAAGCGTGGGCTCGATCGTTAATGATTGCTTGACCGTACCGTTAGCATCAGGAAAATTTATGGCCGCCGAGAAAACTGACCCTTTGCAATACATTTTAACACTCTGTAACGTATAGGAACGAGAATAGATGCATAAATGTGATCAAAGAAATAAGTTTTTATTTCGCGATAATTCTCGCTTCTTCTGTACTTATTTATACTGTACTTATTATCTCTTATCGAGAGTTTTTCCCGCTTATCTAATATTTTATAATATCTATAGAATATATGCAAATTTATAAAATATTATGTAAATCTATCCATTAACAATTTTAATTTTAAGATTTTTGTTTTACTTAATTGTTCTGTTAATCAGATAATTTTAGAATATTTGTAAGTGTTCTGATAAAAAAACTTTCTAGGTTTTCGATAAGGTTTTCCTTTATATTTGAATGAGGTGAAGGGAGAAGGGGGGAGAACTGAACCAATATTCCAATATTTATGTATAACATATGCTTTAATGATGTCAAAAAGTTTTCGTGCAATAATCGCGGCATTGTATCGCGATCTCGTCTCGTTATGAGTTTGTCGAGTACTCCCGGTTTCTCATTAAAGCGGCGAACTTAATTTTGCAAAATTTCAGCCGTTTACGCTGGCGCATAGCCAGCCAAGGGAGGTGGGCGTTTATGACGTGGCGTGGGCGATGTTCGAAATCATCGACTCCCTCACTGCGCAAATATCAAACACCCACGCTATTGTTTGTAGAGATGCAGGGTGGCGATGGGAAGGAGGGAGCGAGACGGGGAGAATAAAACGCGATAAATACAGCGTCAGTAAAGAGAAAGAGAGAGAGAGAGAGAGAGAGGAAAAAGGGGGAGCGAGGGATGCAATCCACTCGAGTTCGAGTACGCTTTTATGGATGCGGATGATCGCTTTTTAACGCTCGTCAATTAAGTACAAAAGAGGACGGATAATGACAAGAGATGAAAAGCGGATAGGTAGACGAAGAAGCGCATCGCGCAACCACATCATACCACACACACACACACACACACACACACACACACACACACACACACAAACACACGTACACTACATCACATTATACCACAATCCACGATCGATACCAAATATTTACAAGTGCGTCAAAATCGTATTAGTCCGATTGCAGTGTCGAGGACTGCGACATTTGTACATTTTAATTAGCGAAAAACATAACGCTCGCGATAATGAGACCGATGTAATATTATATGTTTCGAGTATAATCGGTGGATATATAGGATCGCGTTAAATTGTTGACGTAATCGTGAGCAATGTTTTTAAATAATTAAAATGTGTATGTTGACAAATGTCATTTAAAAATATGCTACAGAATATATTTATATAAATCTCATCTCTAAAACGTGAGCGAATAAATTGCACACATATAACTGTCTCGTTGTTTATATGTATATATAAGCATATATAATATAATCTACTATAATCTTCTTTCTATATTTTTATTTTTTTTTTTTATAAATTAAATTAAATAAAATCTCTCCATGTATCGCGGTACAGATGCACTTATTCTCTTTCCTCTCTTGATTTACAATCAAACTTATAATTACATCGAACATTTTTAAGATCGAAATGTACATAATGAATTGTTCGATTGTTCATGAACGAGCTATTGAGATTAATGAGCACATTTTTATCTTTATCGTAGCATTGTCAGTTCGTTTCTGCTTGAGATCAAACTCAAGTAACTACGAAGTAAAGTACTTTTATCGTAGAGAGAAAGAGAAAGAGAGACAGAATTTACGGAAGATTGTAGGAAAACGCATTTTCCTACGGTTCTCCCGAGAATCAATCGAGATAACTGGATATTCATGGAGCTTCGACGAATGCATTGAAATTCCTATCGGAATTTGTTTGGAGAATTATTATGGAAATCTATAATAAGATTCACGAGAGAGAGAGAGAGAAAGAGAGGAACGGCATGTGATTAATGTTGGCAGTATGGAATTTTAAATCGTAGTAACGATTAAAATCCAATTATTATAGATTGTTTACAGAACTGAATTGATAAATAATACATTTATAAGTTCTAAAACAATCGAATAAAATCTAAATAATCTGATAAATATAAAATCGATTTTTATTATTCATTAATTTAGAGATATTTTTATGTCTTGTTGCATGTATATTTTGATAAATTATAAATAAATAGGCAGGAGCTAAGATACCCTTATATACGGATTATCTTGCGTAGATGTTGCAATTTTTCTATATATGAAATATATATATTTAGAGAGCTAAGAGACATAAAAGTTTCATTCTTTGTCCATTCGCAGCCAAAGGTTGGTAAATTCGATAAGTAAAATACCACAAAGAGCGGTACCATTTTCTGTTCCTTCACTGAATAAACTTATCGTCGAATTTTTATTCGGGAAAAGAGTCTGACATATATGATAAGAAGATATTAAATCTTCTCGTCACAATGATATCATTTCTATATTAGAGATAAAAAAAAGACTTAGATTTCGTCTTTTTGCGAGTGTTTCTTCTATTTTCCTCGTCTATATGTGCAGTCAATGCGCTCGGCGCATTTTTCATTATTATTTTTAGATTCATGCCTTCATCAGATGACTTGATTCATCAGATTCTGAACGTACATTCATAGATACCCCTTTAAGAATAGTCCCTTAGAGATTCGAGCGATAAACTTTATTTGCGAGAGTCGAATCAGTGGCGCCATACATCGTCCGAGTTCGCAACGCGCACACAGATCTCCGCGAATTTCCGCGCTAAATCTCTTATTTCCCTTTTTCCCTTTTTTGCACTAAATTGCACTTGGCTCACAGCTCCGGCACCAGATGGTGCCGTTTGTCCGCTTGGCGGTCGTCTCGGATGTCCGAAGGAGTCGGCGCGGTACGAGAGCGCGAATTTCGAGCTTCGCCGACGGGTTCAGAACTGTAGAATCTGATTGATCCATTCGCGAAATTCCGAGATGCGCGTATAAACACCGGGCTGATTAGGCGCGGCGCAACCGATTCCCCAGCTGATGATTCCGGCTAAGATCCACCGCTTGTCTCGCGCCCTTTGAATAACCATCGGACCACCACTGTCGCCCTACAAAGAGCAGAAGGTTGTAAGTTAGGATACGTTATTGCTCTACAAGCTTTTATAACAATAATAATGCATGCAAGTCTCTCAGACAATTGTCATGTGCTTGAGAGATATCTAAGAATCTAAAGTTTTATCTGAAAGATATTATAATCTCGAGAGACACGTTTTAACAAGATGTTTTTTTGATTGTAATATATTTGTGCGATATATAAATTATATGCACGTACACACTTGTATAATTTCTATTCTAAATCTTTTAAACAAAGAATTTGATTGAGAACATAATTGGTGAATTTTTATTAAGGGGAAGAGTGCAGTCGCGAAATTGTATGTCACAATCTTTATGTTTTTGTTCTTATCATTGTGTTAACATATCGATGAATAATTTTTTTTCCACTTTCTTTTTCATATAATTAATTAAATTTTAATCGACACTTTTTGCTGAGTATGCTCTTCTTGATATTTAATCATAGTTTGAAAAGTCAATTTTCTTTAGTGATATTAATCGTTCGTAACTTTTGGTAAAATTACAATTTCTTTAAACCGATTGATTAAATCATATATTTATTAATCCAATTATTATAGATTGTTTACAGAACTGAATTGATAAATAATACATTTATAAGTTCTAAAACAATCGAATAAAATCTAAATAATCTGATAAATATAAAATCGATTTTTATTATTCATTAATTTAGAGATATTTTTATGTCTTGTTGCATGTATATTTTGATAAATTATAAATAAATAGGCAGGAGCTAAGATACCCTTATATACGGATTATCTTGCGTAGATGTTGCAATTTTTCTATATATGAAATATATATATTTAGAGAGCTAAGAGACATAAAAGTTTCATTCTTTGTCCATTCGCAGCCAAAGGTTGGTAAATTCGATAAGTAAAATACCACAAAGAGCGGTACCATTTTCTGTTCCTTCACTGAATAAACTTATCGTCGAATTTTTATTCGGGAAAAGAGTCTGACATATATGATAAGAAGATATTAAATCTTCTCGTCACAATGATATCATTTCTATATTAGAGATAAAAAAAAGACTTAGATTTCGTCTTTTTGCGAGTGTTTCTTCTATTTTCCTCGTCTATATGTGCAGTCAATGCGCTCGGCGCATTTTTCATTATTATTTTTAGATTCATGCCTTCATCAGATGACTTGATTCATCAGATTCTGAACGTACATTCATAGATACCCCTTTAAGAATAGTCCCTTAGAGATTCGAGCGATAAACTTTATTTGCGAGAGTCGAATCAGTGGCGCCATACATCGTCCGAGTTCGCAACGCGCACACAGATCTCCGCGAATTTCCGCGCTAAATCTCTTATTTCCCTTTTTCCCTTTTTTGCACTAAATTGCACTTGGCTCACAGCTCCGGCACCAGATGGTGCCGTTTGTCCGCTTGGCGGTCGTCTCGGATGTCCGAAGGAGTCGGCGCGGTACGAGAGCGCGAATTTCGAGCTTCGCCGACGGGTTCAGAACTGTAGAATCTGATTGATCCATTCGCGAAATTCCGAGATGCGCGTATAAACACCGGGCTGATTAGGCGCGGCGCAACCGATTCCCCAGCTGATGATTCCGGCTAAGATCCACCGCTTGTCTCGCGCCCTTTGAATAACCATCGGACCACCACTGTCGCCCTACAAAGAGCAGAAGGTTGTAAGTTAGGATACGTTATTGCTCTACAAGCTTTTATAACAATAATAATGCATGCAAGTCTCTCAGACAATTGTCATGTGCTTGAGAGATATCTAAGAATCTAAAGTTTTATCTGAAAGATATTATAATCTCGAGAGACACGTTTTAACAAGATGTTTTTTTGATTGTAATATATTTGTGCGATATATAAATTATATGCACGTACACACTTGTATAATTTCTATTCTAAATCTTTTAAACAAAGAATTTGATTGAGAACATAATTGGTGAATTTTTATTAAGGGGAAGAGTGCAGTCGCGAAATTGTATGTCACAATCTTTATGTTTTTGTTCTTATCATTGTGTTAACATATCGATGAATAATTTTTTTTCCACTTTCTTTTTCATATAATTAATTAAATTTTAATCGACACTTTCTGCTGAGTATGCTCTTCCTGATATTTAATCATAGTTTGAAAAGTCAATTTTCTTTAGTGATTTTAATCGTTCGTAACTTTTGGTAAAATTACAATTTCTTTAAACCGATTGATTAAATCATATATTTATTTATTTCTAAACAGATTTAAGAAGTAATAATAATCAAATCAGTGATTTTTAAGAAAAAGATCGAAAAATGATTTTACAGAAGAATATTTCAAAGGTTTTGACGCTATTCCTTTATGTTTAACATGTTTTTTAAAACTCTTATCTAAAAATTTTATATAGCTCAAAATATTCAGAAAAAAAATATCCCGTTTTTTTTATAAAATAAAAAGAATTTTAATATTTTAGTTAATTCATGCTTCTTTAATTCATGCTAAATGTAAGTAAAAAATACTGACCTCGCAGGAGTCAAATCCACCGTTTCTCCAACCGGCACAGATAAAAATGTGCGGAATGTGCTCGATGTAACCCGCGTTTCTATACATCGCTTCGCATACGGTGTTATTAATGACTGGTACTGCAACTTGCTGCAATACGGACGGCAGTGGTCCCTCTGCGAAAAAATAGAAAATTGATATATTGCTCCCAAGCATCTGCGCGGAAGGAAAAATTTATTTTCTTATTAATTAATTATTAAATTATTTATTAAATTAATTTTTTTATGGCTCCCAATAAAATCACTTTCTCTTAAAGTAATCAAAAAGTTTACAATTTTAACATCACAATTAATTATCTAAATGTACACAAAAGTACCGTCGTAAAGTCTGCCCCAGCCAGTAACATAGGCGGTGCGACCAACGTAACTTTCATCGTCATCGGGCAAGCAGATCGGCAAGACGTTCGGCTGGAAGGGTAGAAGGGGCTCGTAGAATCTCAGAAGGGCGAGATCGTACTCGAAGGTCCGCGCGTCGAACTGCGGGTGACTCGCTACAATTTGCACTCTTCTTTCCTGATATCCGTATGGCTCGTCTTCGTTCGCCAAGTCGTGCTCGCCGATCCTTAACAATAGATCGCTGGGTGGTACACTGAAAAATACACACATTGCTCCATTAATTCTTCAGGAAATTCTCTGTCCGGAGATAAAACGCTGTTGACAATTTTGTGTTACATTTTAAATAATATCAAGAAATATGTATATAATTATTAATTATATTAATTAAAAATTTTTATCTTAAAAATCCTTTACACACACAATCCTAGAAACAGATTCATGAGACGTACGATAGTATATGAATAAGAAAGGGTGTAGGAAAATTTTCGAAATTCTGATTCTTGATAAACGACGTAGGTTTTTTTACGATATCTCATTCTACGATGCAAAAATTCACGTGTGATAGTCTTCATTCTTCTCCTCCTTTTAAATACGTTAGATGAGAAAATGTTTGTACAGAGAGAGACAATCTTTTTTCATCGTGCGAGAAGATTATAGACGCGCGCGAGCGCGCTTTCGCGGAAAGTCTTGAGGAACGTCCTGAGAAGAATGACTAGCTCCAGATGAGCGGGAAAAAACTAGATTGTGGGTGTGACAGCAAACATGATACACTTACCTTTCGACGCAGTGCGCCGCGGTAATAGCCCAGTTCTCGTTCAATAATGCCGCGCCGCATTTGTGCAGATACGTCTGCGATCGCCATTGACGTAACGAGATCTGCAAGGAAATCTGCCAATGTGAGAGACTCAATGGCATATAACGCGCCGATTTACACATTATCTCTTATACGTAATACGTGAGTGATTGCTATTTCTTACGTGGAAGACTATTACTAGCCGTCATGATTACCTATTCCTGTATATCTAAAAAAATCTTATCACGATTTTTATTTAATAGACGATGTGGATCGATGGATCTCATGATTTACAAATTACATATTTTTTTATAAACAATATTTAAATGAGATATATAAATAAAATTGTGAAAAGATTCTACCATATGAAATATCTGCGTATAATATAGGAAATTTTTAAACTATAATCTCGCGTGCAAAATTTTTGATGCTCACCTGCCAGGGCCATTTTCCGAAAGAGCTTCGATCACCACCGACAATTCTGGGCTCCGGAAACAGCCGTCGTCCGCACACTGCAAGGATAAACATCGTCGAGTTCATACCCTTCAGTAAATTCGCGAGTTGGTTGATCATGTTGAAGAACGAACGGACTATGCTCGTTCGATTATCGGATAAACGACGGTATCTTTACGCGGATGCGTCGCTCATTTAATTCTTTTGTCTCTGCCCGCAGGCGGAATTGAGATATTTTCGTATCGACAATATTATGTGTGCACGCTTGCGACGCTCAATTGCGCATATCGTTGATTACGGGAAATTACAGGCGTTTGAATTTTATTTATGACTATACATCGCGTCATTATTTAAATTAAACTGCACTACCAATAATGGCAGGCAATTTAGATGTAATGATGTAAAAAGTAGTAAAATAGACGTAAGTTTGTAAATTATAGCGTTGTTATATGTGATTTTAACTACTTAAGTAAAATATAAATAATAAAAATTTGTAGAGTGATCATAAAAATGGATTGGTTCGAAATACGGCGATAAGATGTAGGCGAAAAACCATGAAATAATTAAAAACTGCGAAAAACTATTGGATTTGAAAATTTCTAATTACAAAAATTTCTAATAATAAATTTCTAATTATAGTATCAAAATATTTTATAAGAAAATTGGAAAATTTTATAGTAAATATATATATTTTACTGTATTCGCAGCAGAATTATTTTGTTGCTTGTAAAATGCAATTGCTCTCTCAGGTGTGACAGTCAGGTTCTTTCTTATCGAATAAGAAGTCGAATATTACCGCGAGAAGAAGATCTATATCGGTATGCAATCAAAAGTCGGATCATCTTTAGAATTAAACTGGGACAAAATCGAACGGAATAACGCGAATTCCGACAGTGACCCGAATCCGGTTCCGCATTTCACCGGTTATTTTGTTTTTAGTCCCAAGACTAGTTCTAGTCGAGTATAACGATACCGGTCACCCACGAGAACGTGGGAACGATTCAATTTTTTTTATTCGTGCATAAAGCGCGCTCGCTGTAATATTACAGCGCAATCCGGCCGTACAGTATTTAAGTATTAACCTTGTTTGTAGTCTGACATATTGAGAGTCTCCATCGGTACCGGAAGTTCCGTGTCGATCGTAATACCGGTGATCGTTGACGGCAAAGTGGTCATCATCGGTTTTGTTGTGATATCGGGATTGATAGTGCTCTCCGTTATTGGTTTGGCTAAAAAAACAAAGCAGTCAGAATACACGATATTTATCGTGTATATGTGTTTCTCTTCTAATATATATTTTAAAATATATATTTAAAAATATATACATATATATATTTTAATATATATTTTAATATATATTTTTTATTGCATATTATTTGTAAGAAATTCTCGTAAAAGATTTTATCAAACATAAATTCGTTCCTGTAATATTATAATCCAGTAAGAGCTTTCAGTTGATTTCTTTAGTATGACTTGTTGGAAAATATTTCTTCCACGTTGCTGCTCGTTTGCGCGATTACGCCAACTCTTGAAAATTCTTCAATCGCGAGCAAACTCCGCGGAGAGTGCTCTCGCAAAGGCTATAATTAATATGTCTTACCAGAAGTCCAAGACTGTACAGTGGATTCCGCAACCGGTTCGGTCGTCGACTCTTGAGTCTGCGGTAAATTTTCGGTGGAAGGCGATTGAATCATTATCCAGCTGTCCGGAGTCGTTATCGGCGACCAATCAGTTTCCGCTTGCTCTGCGAAGCGAACGGACGAAATAGAATCTAATTGTATTTTAATTAATCGTGAATTTATGATTTAAAGAGGCAAACAGAGTTTTCGTTACATCTAATGAAAGAGAATAAATATTATTTATTGCGATAAAAATAATTTATTGAAAGTAAATTGATTTCAAACTTGGCTGCAAGCTTATCTTTAGCTGTACATCTGTAAGATATCACATATACAAAAAAATGCACTGATAAATTCTTCCTTTAATCCGTAAACATTTATTTCTCAGAATGCTTTAGTTTCGAGCAGATACGTTATGTTAATTTGAGGCAGCGCGAACCGGTTTGATTTGGGATGGTCAAGAGGAGAGCGATTCCCTCTTTTCTCTGTCTCTTTCTCGCAAGGTAGCGAAGCAGAGCATAGTTATTAGAAGATAATTCTCGCTTGCACGACGAGAGATAGATAGAGATACGTAAAGGAGATGATTATAATCGCGTCGGCGGAGAGCTCGAGAGATAGCCGGTTTGTAAACCGTTACGATGTTCCGTCCCAATGGTATATCATAGCACCAAGTTATCAAAGCAACGGCATGATCCGCATAGCGGCTGTCTCTCTTCTAGGATCCAAATTCCAACGATCTTGATTCGCATGTATAATATTACCCGAGTCAAAATTGTTCTGCTATTTTTAATCTCAATTTTCAATCCAACACTTATTTTGACACTTTAAGCAATTAGATCATCCTCTTCCAAAATTATTTAACTTATTTTAATCAAATTAAATTAAATTTATAATTTTGTATTTGAGGTATAAAGTACAAGCTTAATTACTATATAAATTAAATCAATCGCGAAAGTCTCTAGGATGTATAAACAAGAGAAAATTAAGATTGAAAATAGGAGCAAAAATTTCGATTTTGGTAGGCTCGATGTTTTTAAGCAGAATAAAATATTTGCATTTATCGAACGCTGCGAATAAATGCATGGCGGATTATCTATTTATGCATCTCGATGCGGTCTAGTTTCGCGCTCTGCATATAATTACCGAGAGACAATTATGCCGTTTAAGGACGTGTATCCGTTCTGTTGGACCTAATGTGTGCCCGGCGACATTCGGGAGAAACCGGTCGAAACAGATTACGACGAATCATTGACCTCATAAAAATACGTGAACTTCGGAAGCGGAATAATATCCTTTTGCATCATAAATGCGATGTTAGAATCCGGAAGAGAAAGAGATATGAATTTCGTTTTTTTATTATCTCGAAACGAACAGATGTGTGAGATATGTTCGGAGTAAAAATGAACCAAGTTTATAAAAATTATTTCATGCAAAATTATATATTTAAAGCGAACTTTTATAAATTATCGAGTTGATCTTATTTTTTTTTCCCCCGTCAAATTCATAAATGATATTCGAAAAATCGTTTTGGTCTTTGTTCAATCGTTTACTTTGCAATAGATCTATGCGAATGTCTTCATGTATCATGTATTATACTTTGATGTGTCATTACAATCGGCGATGTGTAGTCGTGAATTTTAAATATGCTCCCTTCGTCGGCATCGATCACTACCTTCGAGGAATTATTGGAAACGTGATTAGCAGCTTTATTCGTTCTGCGTCTGTATGCTAAATCGGTGAAATCGAAGAAAACGAACGTTCATTGTGTAACGCGACGCT